CACCTTTTTTGATCTCTATTGGAACTTTTGGGGACACCTGCCGTCCCATAACCATGAATGGTCAAACACTAAGTCATGAAGACAGCCTGCACGTAACTAGTTAAAGACAGAGAGGATGCATTTGACCAGGGGGAGGGAAAAGCCTCCAGGTTCTCAGGAGAATAAAATGAATGAAAAGTTCATTCACAACCACAGCCAGTGAATAGCCTAAAAGGGACCCTGCAGCAAGTACCAACGCTGGTGGGATCGTTAGAAGGACACATAGGATGCAAAGACCACAAAAGGTTCTCTGAAACAAAACTAAATTTATTTGCTTGATTAGAAGGCACAAACAGCAAAAGGGAAGAAGTACAACAAATCTGGGGAGAGTCTGAGTTCCGGTCTCTGGTGGGTTGCCAAGGCCGAGTGTAAACGCTTCTTTGCAGGTGGCCATCGCACTGGTGCGTTCTTCAGAGTGCGGGCACCACGGCCGAAGATGTGCAGGGTGGGCTGCAGGAGCGCCAACGGGCACAGTGGCACTCGGATGACAGTTGAGGTGTCTGAAGTCGATCAGAAATTTTTCCTAACGGGATCCGTAGCACATCAGCACGGCTGGCTTCATCGAGTAAGACCCTTCACGCATCACTTTGGGAACTGTCAGACCCAATGTCCTTCTTTCGGTTAAGGCAAAACGTACCCATGAACTTAGAAAAACGGATTTCATGTGGACAGGTTGCCCTTCAGGTTGTAACAAGGCAAAACATGAGACACACAAAACCCGTACACGATGTTCAAAGGGACATTACACAGGACGGCCAATAGGTGGGAGCGACCCACATGCACACCAATGCGGAATGGATACATGGATGTGGCACATACAGAGAACCAGACATCACTCAGACACGGGAAGGAATCAGGTACTAACACATGTTACAACGTGGGTGAACCTCAGAAACGTTATGCCAAGGGAAAGCGGCCAGATACAAAAGCCACACACTGCGACTCCGTTCCTAGGAAGCATCTAGAAAGGGAAGTCCGCCCAGACACCAGGCAAACTGGTGGTTACTGGGGCTGGGGAGGGGGATGGGAGCCTAGTGCTTAAGGGCTACAGAGAGCGTTGGGGTGATGAGATGTTTTCCCAACAGGGATGGTGGCAGCAAACACTACACTAGCAGAAGCCACTGAATTCTACACTTCACACGCGTTGTTTCTTATGCGAACTACATCTCAATAAAAAGAAAAAGGACAAAAACAGAAAAGTTGAGGCATCTTTGGAGGCGCATTGAAAGCCCCCAGAGGCAGAAAAGAGGTGAGGGAGACTGTGGAGCAATGGCTCAGCGAGCCGAGGGGTAGGGGAGGGGGAGGAGGGGGCCAGGTTCCGCCTCAGATTCGAACAAGGCCCCCCGACAAGGCCCCTAAACAAGGCCCCAAAACAAGGCTGCAAACAAGGCCACAAAAATGTGAAAGGCAGCCCAGCCCGTGTGGCTCAGTGGTTGAGTGTCTAGCCACGAATCAAAAGTTTGCCAGTTCAACACCCAGTCAGGGCACATACTGGGTTGCAGGCTGGATCCCCAGTGGGGACCACAGGAGGCCATCAACTTTGCCTCTCATGGATGTTTCTTTCTCTCTCTCTTTTCCTCTCTCTCTAAAATTAATAAAAACATATTGTTTTAAAACTTGAAGGCAAGGGGATCCAAGATGGCTGTGCCCAGGTAAACACCTAGCCGCAGCCGCACACAACAATTTCAATAAAATACAACTAAAATATAAAATGGACATTACCCAGAACTACAGAAAAGTCGACTGACTGGAAATTCTACAACGAGAAGCAAGGGGAAAACCAGAAGGAAGAGCGGAGGAGCTATAAAAGCCTAAGGTACAGAGACACACGGTGCGCGCTGAGAGGACGGAGCCGGAGAGGATGGAGGCTGAGTGCCTGGCTGGCGTTCCCTAGCAGGAAGGAGATAAAACTCTGACTGTGTTGGGCCCCAGTTCTGACTGCTCTGAACCCCAGTTCTAAGCCAGACCCCGGGGACCCAGGCTCATCCACAGGGAGCTGGGCTGTAAGACGGAACCCTGGTGGAGCGGCGAAAGGAGGTCCCGGCGGCGCGCACAGTGTGAGCAGAGAAGGGACGGTTGGCTGTGCCGCGGGATTGCCCTGGCGGGAAGGAGACAGGGGCTCCAGTCTGCTCTGAACGCCACCTCCAACTCCTCTTCCAGCTGAACTGAACCCCAATATCGGGCTCATTGGAGGAGAGCGTAGACTGTTTGGTAGCAGGCGAAAATCGAGGGCACCTATCTCTCAGAGGCGCTTTGCAGCGAGTACTGAAGGACCCTGAGACTCAGGAGCCACATAGGGCGGGGCTGATGGAAGCCAAAGCTGTAGGCTCCACCCTGAAACCCCACCCCATCAGGGAAGCTGCGAAAATGCGACAACGAAATAGATCACAAACAAAAGAAATGGAGGACAAAAAGTGACTGGATATAGAGTTCAAATCTACACTTATAAGGTTTTTCAAGAATTTCCTAGAAAAGATCAATAAGACCTATGAGGATATGAAAAGAGATCAACTAGAATTAATAAGGAATCAACAAGAAATGATAAGGGATCAATAAGAAATGATAAGGGATCAACAAGAAATAAAGAATACATTGTCTGAAATAAAAAATATTATACAGAGTCCTAAAAACAGAATGGAAGATTGCAAGAATCAAGTCAAAGATTTGGAACATAAAGAGCCAGAAGACACTCCTCCACAGAAGCTAGAAGGCAAGAGAATCCAGAAAATTGAAGATAATGTAAGAAACCTCTGGGACAACTTCAAGCGAACCAACCTCAGAATTATGGGGATCCCAGAAGATGAGAGAGAGCAAGATATCGAAAACATACTGAAAGAAATAGTGACAGAAAACTTCCCCCACCTGGGGAAAGAATTGGACTTACAAGTCTAGGAAGCGCACAGAACTCCAAACAAAAGGAATCTAAAGAGGACCACACCAAGACACATCATAATTAAAATTCCAAGAGCAAAAGACAAAGAGAGAATATTAAAAGCAGCAAGAGCAAAGCAGGTAGTTACCTATAAAGGAGCACCTATACGATTGTCAGCTGATTTCTCAACAGAAACCATGCAGGCCAGATGGAAATGGCAAGAAATATTCAAGGTGATGAATAGTAAGAACCTACAGCCAAAGATATCTATCCAGCAAAGCTATCACTCAGAATCGAAGGCCAGATAAAGAGCTTCACTAACAACAAAAAAAAGCTAAAGGAGTTCATCAACACCAAACCAGAATTATATGATTTGCTGAAGGGGGATCTTTCAGAAGAGAAACTAAGTAAAGATAAAAATTATGAACAACAAATACGTAACTATCAACAAGTGAATCTAAAAACCAAGGAAATTAAAAAAAAAAATCTGATGAACAATATTAACTGTTGAATATAATAGAATCAGAGGTATGGAAGGGGATGAACTGACAATTCTTGGGGAAAAGGGGAGAGGGGGATGTGGGGAGAGACTGAACATAAACTGTGCACCTATGGATGAGGACAATGGGGAGTGGGGAAAGAGCAGAGGGTGGGGTGGGGACCTGGTGGAGGAGAGCAATGGTGGGGAGGGAAAAAAAGGAACATTTGTAATAATATGAACAATAAAAACTTATTTTAAAAAAAACTTGAAAGGCAAACAAATAAAACTCATTTCCAAATGGTTACCTATGTGCTTTTCTGCAATAAGCTACACTTCTAAAACTAGAAACGACTGCATAAAGGGAGAAAACACGGCATCCCAGAAATGCCTCTTCCCAGGCCTGCTTGCAGCCTGCAGGAGAGCTGGGCTCTGGGGGGTGCCTGGGGCACAGAGCCTTCCAGAGGCCTAGACACCGCCCCGCCCGCCGCTCTGCCTGGACCCCTCTGCACACAGGGAGGTCTCCCGTGGCCTCCACACAGGGCGACAAACATCGTTTTTAGTCGTTCCAACATAGTCATTCCAACACTCTTAATAAACACACTGTAACCACCAATTCGCATACACTGCAGCGCCAAAACCATTTGAACTAAATAAGCAAATATAAAGTACATTCTGCAGAAAGATTCTAACATTTCATAGGTCCCTTCAGTCTATACCATGTCCAGTGAAACCATTTGAAAGGCTGGGCCCTCCTGTCGCCCGCTAAGGCACGGACAGACATCAGACTCAGTGCTGGAAGGCAGCCAGAAGGCAGTCCCCGTGTGCTTGCCCTCCCGGAGGCGTCCACAGCACTGGACTCGGAAACGGAAGGAACGAGCTGCCGCCAGGACAGGCAGCTGGGCTCAGGGAGGGCCCGGTCACCTGGACGAGATGAGTCAATGGCAGGGACCTGTTGCCCAACAGGCAACTCTCAAGTGCTTCAGAGGGCACATTTCATGTGATGTGCTTAATGCAGCAAACAGTTAAAAACCACACATCTTAAGTTAATATAACGTAATCAGCATTGTACAGTTAATTGATTCAGAAAACCAGAGGCTTTGGGAGGTTAACCTGAGCCAGGTGTGGATTTGATACACTTTAGAACATTAAAATCGAAATCACTATGACAATGACAGCAACCAAAACAATAATGCAAGCAAAACAATCCCGGGTTATTAAATCACTCCCACTTCTATGTAAAAGCCACGGGGTTGTGCTTCAGTATAAACTTTGCATGGCTAAAATGGAAAATACTCACACAATAAAATACACCAGCCCAGCTGGCATGGCTCGGGGTTTGAGCTTTGACCTATGAAGTGGAAGGTCACGGGTCAATTGCCAGTCAGGGCACATGCTTGGGTTGCGGGCTCAATCCCCAGGGTGGGGCTTGCAGAATGCAGCGGATCAATGCTGCTCCCTCATCATTGATGTCTCTCTTTTTCCCGCTGCCTTCCTCTCTGAAATCAACATAAACATATTTAAATGAATAACCTGGAAAGCAACAAAATCTCAGAACTCACTTTGGTAGATGCTCTTCGGGTTTCCAACGGAGAGACCACAACGCAGGACTCAGCATCGGGGGGTGCTGGGCAGGCCTCCTTTCTTTTTGCCCTTGGCCTGGCCGGCTGGCTGCTGGCCCCCACCTGGCTGAACTGGTTGCACGGATGCCATCCCCTCGGCCTCCGAGAGCGGCACGACCCGCCACTGCACCGGCTTGGACTGTGGCAGCTGCTGGAAGACAGACGGCAGCTGGACCAGCCGCTGCCCAGGCCTTGTCTGGCCGGAGCCAGGCTGGGACAGCGGAGCTTGCTGGGGCTGCAGGACACCTCCTACTCCGTTGAGGTTGATGACAGCAGCAGCCTGCTGGGTGGACAGGCCTTTGGGTCGACTGCTGGGAGCCTGCGCCCTGGAAACCTGCCTCGCCGGCTGCCGAAGACGAGAAGCGGGGGGCTGTGCAGATGGCGGCTGTGCCACCAAGTGGCAGAGCAGCTGCTGCGGCTGCTGGGCCTGCTGCAGGATGGTGGAAATGTCCGAGCCCTCAGGGACCCAGAGCACCTGGCTGGGCCTGAGACTGGACATGTTTCCCAGCACGTACTGCACGCCGCCTTGGGAGGCAGCCTGGGGGACGGCCGGCCCTGCGTTCTGGAGCTGGCCTCCGGAGGGCAGGCTGCTGGGCTTCGCCCCTGAAGCAGCCTTGGCCCCGCAGGGAGAGGCCTGGGCGGGGTTGTACTCTCTCACCACAGTCTGGACGATGTGGACGGGGCCGATCAGCTGAACGACCTTGGGGTCAACAGCGGTGCGCTTGACCTGGATGAACGGGGCTATGCAGGATGCTCTGGCAGAAGACGCAGTGGCTGCAGGAAGTATGTTCCCTTGCGCAGAAGATTTCTTGGGAAGACTTGGTGGCTGACAAGCAGGGGCAGGAGATGGAAGCGCTCGAATCCTGATGGGCTGCTGTGAAGGCAGAGGCTTACCCGAGGAGATCTTCCCTGAGCTGCAGGGAGGACTGAGGGCTGGAGGTGTGTGCTGGCCTTCCTTGCCCGGTGCTGCGGACGGAGTGGACACGGCCTGCGGCTGCTCTGCTGCTCTCCCCGGACAAAGCTGGCTGAGACGGGTGAAGCCACTGGACCTCTGTGCCACCCTGACTGGACGTTTGTCCCTCTTCTTCAGCAATCTCTTGGACTGTCTGGCTGCTTTGGCAGCACCAGGCTCGGACCCAGACATGTGACTATAGGAATGGTCATTTATAAAGGACGAGAGGTGAGAAATCCATCTCCCACATCTGACGTTTTCATAGGGCCTTTGCCCAGAGATAAATGGATCGTTCAGAGACCGCATGACGTTCGGCTTTGTTGCCGGGGAAAGCTTGCCAGCTTCACGTCCAAATAAAGAATCACTTTGTGCCTCCAGGTCTGGCCAGGCAATTGAGTGAGCATCATCATATTTGAAAGGCCAATCTTCTGCAGCGTATTTTTCCACATCGAAATCAGAAGGGGGTAGCTGTTCCCACATACCTACCAAATTTCCTTCTTTGAAAAGGTCAAAGTCATCCAGCTGATCTGCTTGACTTTCTTCGCTTTTCTGGTCAGGAGCCCATGCCCTTAGCTCAGGAGGGGGTGGGCTGCGAGACACCTCCGGCTGCAGGTCCAGGGAGGCTGCAGAGCAATCCTGGAGGCTCCTTTTCATTGGGGGAGTATTCATCTTTTGCTTGTTGTAGAGTAGCTGGTTTTCAACGCACGCTACTGACACAGAAGGGTCGAGGCACAGGGGCTCTGCGGTAGCTAAGATCAGCTGACTCTCAAGCGAAAGTTTGTCTTCCTGGGTCCAGATCTGGGGATCGCTGGTTATGGACTGCACGTCGGAAGCTAAGGTCTGCATCGTTGGGCGTAAGAGAACGTGCCTGCTCCGGAAAGCACTGCGATCCGAGTGCGTACACCGTCTGTAGTCCCGCACCTCGGTGATGACACACCCGCTCTGAAAGATGTTCACCTGAGACTTTTCCAGGACGTCCACCAGATCAGGGGACAGCTGCTCTGCATCCAGGTACTGAAGGAAGTCGCTGTCATGGTAAGGCAGCAGCACGGTCTCCAAATATGCTTCCGTCTCGACCCTGAGCACCAGCGAGTACTCCTTCTCACCCGGGAGCAGGTTGACCAGCAAACTGGGCGGAGACTCCCTCTTGACCAGCTTCTCCAGCAAGTGCACGTTGCGCATCAGCTCCTCCGGGCCCTCGGGCTCCCTCCCGCACTCCTCCACGTAGATGTCGTACAGCTTCTCCTGCAGGGATTTGCCCTCAGCGGAGGAGGCTTTCCTCTTGGGAGGCCTCTGCTGGGCGCTCGCAATGGCCCGGCCCGCGCGGTCCACAGCTCGCTCCAAAGCCCTCTGCATGGTGACACGAAGCGGGGGCCTGAGAGGAGAGAGCGCGTAAGTCAGAGCGCTGTCGCTCGCTCACCGGTCCATGTGCAATGTCGTCTGCAACGTCCATGTATCGCTTTGCAAATGTTGCGACTCGAGCGAGCAGCGCCCGGCTTCCCCTCACAACAGACACGAGAAACCCCCCGGCCCGAAGGCCGTGCCCCTGAGCGCGCGCCCCTCGTCCGCCAGCAACGCGGAGAGCACTTACGGTCGATCTCGATCGGGCCTCCTGTCCGCGCAGCAGCCGCCTGAAGCCGCACCTCACTCACCGAGCCTCGAGGTCTGCAGCCTGGGCCGGAAGTGGGGGCGCCCGCTCTCTTTTTCGTGCTCCCAGGCTGGCGGGTCACGGGTGCGCATGCATGCTCTGCCGGGCTTCCGTGCTGGCGCCCTCTGCAGGCCACGGTCCCGCAGCATCCTCTGGCCCCTGCTGCCACCCTCAGGGGGCGCCAGGCCCAGCTCCGCACTTCCTGTGGTGGCGCCCACACTTGCCCCTGGACAGCCAGGCCTTGTGCCCCCTGGTCTGTGCGGTCACCCCCAAAAGCAGGCACCCCAGAGCAGAAGCAGCAGGCACATAAATACATACGTGTTGGGCACGCTTTAAGTACTCCCCGATGTCTGCGGCTAAGCTCTTGGAGACAGTGGTGGCAGGTGTATTGCTTTTCGCCAGAAGCACTTGGTCAGGGGTTGGTCCCCGTTATTGCAATCTCTTGTCGTCCATGGCAGGGCTGTTCTTCGTGTCCCCAGGTTTCACACACACCAAGGAGTTGGGTCCACAGCTATGACTCCTGCAGATGTGGAGGCTTTGGGGAAAGCAATGGAATTCAATGAGTCATCAGCAGTCTCCCGCCTAGTGGCATTCATACAGATTGCACGTAGTGTGGCTCCTTACACATAAGTACTTACCTCCCATCTCCCTACCTATTACATAATGACATTCTGTTATTTTATTTATTTTTAAGTATGTGGCAGCCCTAACCGGTTTGGCTCAGTGGATAAGAGCGTCGGCCTGCAGACTGAAGGGTCCCAGGTTCTATTCCAGTCAAGGGCATGTGTCTTGGTTTCAGGCATATCCCCAGTGGGGTGTGTGTAAGAGGCAGCTGATCAATGATTCTCTCTCATCAATGTTTCTAACTCTCTATCCCTCTCCCTTCCTCTCTGTAAAAAGTCATATATATATATATATATATATATATATATATATATATATATTAAAGTATGTGACAGGTATATTATACTGTCCATGAATTATAGTGCAGGATTAAACTATTATTTTCTTTTATTTCTTGATTTGCATTTGCTCGGGTGGAGAACTGTTGTTCCAGGTGATGGCAGCTGATTTAATTGGTTGCTGTAAGTGTAGACCTGAGCTACAGTCTTAATGGTAGATTTGGATGGTATGGAGTCTTAGAAAATTATTGCGACATTGTTTTCCATTACCTCTGTTACTTTGAAATCTGCCAGCCTTCTTGGGCAGCTTTTTATTTTATTTTATTTTATTTTATTTTTTAAAATATATTTTTATTGATTTTGTACAGAGAGAAAGGGAGAGAGATAGTTAGAAACATCGATGAGAAAGAGTCATCGATCAGCTGCCTCTTGCACACCCCCTACTGGGGATATGCCCGCAACCAAGGTACATGCCCTTGACCGGAATCGAACCAGGGACCCTTCAGTCCCCAAGCCGAGGCTCTATTCATTGAGCCAAACCGGTCTCGGCTTGGGCAGCTTTTTAAAAGAACCTCTTGATGCTTACATGTAGACAGAATAAGAAAATGATATGTGTAATGAAGTCTCACAAATGAGAAGAATCCCAGACAATTTGGTACAACTCCCGAATTACAGACTACTATAAAATAAATGTGCTTTTCCATCAAAAGCAATGATGATAATTATATACATCGTAGATACCATTTATTGAAATAGGATTAAAAACTCCTCCACTAGGAGTTCCTTAAAGATGACCTTCATTTGGGAATAGACAAGAATAATTTTCTTCTGGCATATCAATTGTCTTTGAGCAAATGTGCACTTGTGGAGTACCTCAATGGGGCTTGAAATCAGTTGAGTTTCTTAACTCTTTCAAACATCTTTCCCTGCCTCTTTTTTCCCGTCTACATGCTCCAACTTAGGTGAAGCATAGACTGCATAGCTGAATCATATTTTGCTATCCAATAATCTAAATATACAACTGTAATAAAGCCCTGATTATTGAGGTTAACATGAGCTCTGCCCCTCATTCCAAGCGCTGCCTTATTCTTCCAACTTGAAGAGATGAACTTAGTTCCGACCTGACTCCTCACCAGCAGGCTCCTCACCAGCCAGGATCCTTTTCACCTTCTGTCCCCATGAACTTGCTGAGTGTTGGGTCTGGAAAAGGGTCATTCTGTAACAATATTCCATGTAGGCAGAGACGCTCGTTAGAATGGCAAAGCTCTGCTTCTTGTTGGTCTGAACTAGACATTTTGTTGGATTGGAAGTGGCACAGTGGCCCTGTGTTGGAGTCCTAAACCTTAAAGAAGTCCAAGGCTTCTGCTGGCTGCTCCTAACTGGCAGACTGGACTTTCTGGCTTCTTAGCATGGCACAGGAGGAAGGCCGGGCCTAGCATGAGCCATGTTGGGGAAGGGCCTAGAGCACCAGCATGTAGGAGACACCCACTCCCCTGGTTGTGCCCAGGTCAGGGCCTTAGATGCTTCACTTGCCTCACATTGTCCCAGCCCTGCAACTAGGCCTCTTGCTGTCTGGGCCTGCCTCTGTCCCAGCCTCATCTCTCTCTTTCGTGTTTTTATGCTCTGAACATAGTCAGTGTGCTATGTGCTCTGATTGTTACATAGCTTCCATTTTTCAGGCAGCCATGCCTCATAAATACCTATAACCCAGGTTTTTTACCACATGCAATACCAGACAAACCAAGTGCATCCTCCTAAAAGCAATCGCCGGGACCAGTTTGGCTCAATGGATAGAGCGTCGGCTTGGGGACTGAAGGGTCCCGGGTTTGATTCCGGTCAGGGGCATGTACCTTGGTTGCGGGCATATCCCCGGTGGGGGGTGTGCAAGAGGCAGCTGATCGATGACTCTCTCTCGTCGATGTTTCTTACTCTCTGTCTCTCTCCCTTCCTCTCTGTACAAAATCAATAAAATATATTTTTAAAAAAGCAATCCATAGATAAAGACTCTCCCACTTGTTAATGCTATTAGTGTGTTTGCCAGCAGGTCTGTCATTAGCATGTGTACAAGGACATCTAATTGGCTCCCTTTTCTTTCCTTCCCAGTATGCCCTTCGGTAGAAGGAGAGACTGGGTTACAATCTTCTCTTACCTCCTGTCTCCTCAGATTCCAAGGGACAGGAATGGGAGGCAGCCTGTCTTCTGTGGCCATTTACGGCTGTCCTGATTGTGGAAGCCCTAAGAGAAATGTGGGTTTTCAAGTTGGACGTACAGACAAATGACGCAACCACTGACGCTCAAATCTCATTCTTTCCCCTTTCCATGTTACACTAAAGAAGTCATTACATCTTAGTCACTTCATCTGAGGAATGGGAACATTATCTACCTCACTGGTTTATTGTTATGACTACATGAGTATGTGTATCCTATATAATAAAATCCTAATATGCTAAGTGTCTGACCATTCATTTGACCGTTCGACCATTCGACCAGTCGCTATGACACACACTGACTACCAGGGGGCAGACGCACCAAACGGTAGGTTAGCTTGCTGCTGGGGTCTGGCTGATTGGGACTTGGTGAGATGGGCCAGACATGCCCTGAAGCTCTCTTGTGGCCCCTCCCCAGCCCCAGTCATGCACCAGTGGGGTTCCTAGGCCTGGCCTGTGCCTTCTCGCAATCTAGGACCCTTCAGGGGATGTCAGAGAGCCAGTTTCAGCCCAATCCCTGCAGGCCAGGCCTCTAGTATATATAAACTAATTTCAGAGAGGAAAGAAGAGGGAGGGAAAGAGAGAGAGAGAGAGAGAGAGAGAGAGAGAGAGAGAGAGAGAGAGAGCGCGCAATATCGAAGATGAGAGAGAATCATTGATTGGCTGCCTCCTGCATGCCCCACACTGGGGATTGAACCTGAAATCCAGGCATTATGCCCTAACTGGGAATCGAACCATGATCTCCTATTTCATAGGATGACACTCAACCAATGAGCCACACCAACCAGGCTGACTACATGAGTCTTTTGTGTGAAAATACTTCTTGAACGGTAACAAGCTGTGTCTAGGTACTGGATTATTGCTATAGTCAGTAAATGTCTGCAGCCTTCTATTGGGTGCTCATTTGTGACTTGTTCTGAAGTTGGTAGCTCTGGGTTCTGATTACAAGGCCTATTAGTTGTCAAAGGTCTGTCAGCATCATGGCATCCTGGAGGACAGGAATCCTTTGGTTTGAAAACATAACCTGGATCCTGGATCCACTCTTACAGCACCACTTTTTTCGTTATATTTCTTCTCACTGTCTACAATTATGTATTTGTATAAATATAATACTATTTACCACTATTAAGTATTTACTACCTGCTAAGTACTTTTCTATGCACCTTAAGTGTGATATCCCATTTAACCCTCCCCTCCCAACAATCCAATGAGGTCATTATTTTTAATGATAGATTTTATTACAGAAATAAAGTTGTATATGCTCAAAATGGTATGTTCTGTTTCAAGAAATTAGTACTAGATTGTGAGAAATTTCTCATGTTACAGTTGCCATGATTAACTTTCAAAATTTGTCAGACTTTTAGCCTGTCTTCAATTTTTCATAGGGATAAATGAAAATATAAAGAAAATATTTGTGCATAAAAATTCTACTTATCTAAATCTTTCAACTTTGTTCATGTAGTTTTTTTCTCCTAACGTTGTTGTTGTTGTTAATCCTCACTAGAGGATATTTTTCCTTTGATTTTTAGCGAGTGGATAGAGGGGGAGAGACAGAGAGAAACATCAATGTGAGGGAGACACATCGATTGGTTGCTTCCC